TCTCTCTCTCTCTCTCTCTCTCTCTGTCTCTCGGCCTGGGGAGGTGGAAGGGACGTGATGTTGGAGAGGGCTACAGGCTGTGTTCAATGGCACTAAACAGAATGTGGTGGCACATCTGACTATGAGTGTCTTATTTGGGGGGTGACGGAGACTGGGCACAGGGGAGGAGAAGGAGGAGAATGTCAGAAAGGGGTAAAACTGCAGAACCAGACAAGGCATAAAAGGAGGGAGGGAGGAAAGCCTTGGGCGTGGAGGCTCAGAGCACCCAAGACCACTTATAAGAAAGACAGGCTAACAGCAGACACCCTGTTGCCGATTGGGGGAGGATACGGATCTGACTTCCCCAGTGTGGGAAGCATCAAAGACATCTGCCACCTTGACTGTGAACCCTCCTCTCTCCACCTCTAGGAGAGGAACACAAAGAACCAGCCTAAAGGCTGGTGTCTGAGTGACCCAGTGACCTTGCCCTGAGCCTTGGCGCCGGGTAGAAGAAGCCACAGCCACAGCAGCGGGAGGGCACAGCTGACCCTTGGGCAGGACAGATCAGTGACGACACTGGGGAGGGGGATGTATGTTTCCAGGGAGTGACCTGGAAACTGGAGGGTGAGGAAACTGGTATGGGAGTGATTTCTGCCTGAAGGAGGTAGGAGTGACCCTGCTTCCTCCACAGAAAACTTTTCTCTGTCAGGCTGCCCCTCCTTTATCCACATTGCACTGCTTAAGTCTGAGGCAAAGGAGGAGGTGATGGGACCGGCCTTTCAGTGCCCTAGCGATGACCCTTGCCTCGTGACAGGTAGTGGGGGGGGCAACTTCCAGGGAGCCGGTGTGAGCCAGTGGGAGAACGGGGTGGGGGGCTCTGAGAGAGGGGTGCGGACTGTTCTGGGGTATATTCTGGGGCCATCTGTCCACGAGGTCATGAGGGCCTCCCATCTCCTCCACAGGCCACAGTCATGTGGGTCCCCGCCATGGAGACTGGCAGACACATAGGCAGAGCCAGGAAGGCATTGGGACAAGAACATCAGGGGGCTCCTGGAGAATAAGGGGAGGCCTGAAAGTCGCAGGGTATGTCCCACCCCACACACCAGAGAGACTCGGAAAACCCCACGGACTATCAGGCCCTCTGCTGGGGTTAGAAGCCCCTGCGTGTCTGGATGGGGGGACGTGGCCTAAATAACTGATCAAGGCTACTCTCTGCTGCAAGGAACCCTCCTCAAAGACTGTCACTATCCCATTTCACAATTCCCAGGAGGGGGCAGGACATCGGTGTGATCCCTCCAACCTCAGGACGTACCCTCTCCCACACAAAGCCAGCCTGGGGCCGGGGCCTCTGGACAGTCTTGAGGAGGAGGTCCTGGAGGCGTCACAGGATCAGTTCATCCTCGTCCTCCTCATCGGTGGACCGCAGACTGGGGCCCTGCAGGATATCAGCCAGCTCCTCTTCCGGCCCGGGACTCTCCACCAGCTCCAGCTCCTCCAGCTCGCCCTCCACCTTGGCTGGAGCCACCGAGAGAGGGGGCTCCGGGGAGGGGGAGGGCATGGGGGTCTCTGGGGAGGCGGGAGCCCTGTCCCCCGCCCCGGCCGCCCCAGTTCCGTCCTCAGGCAGGCTCCACGTGTCCGTGGGAGGGGGCGGGCCCCCAGGGTTCTTCCGAGCTGTCGTCGTGTTCCGGAAGCTGGCGAGGGGCGGGCGGAGCTGCACCCCAGACTTGGTGTGCCCTTCGATGGCCTTCTGCAGCTGCGGGGAGAGGGAAAGAGGGTACACGGTTGGGAAGAGGACGAAGATGGGGCAGGTGAGAGACACGGGCGCGAGAGAACAGACCCGCACGATGAGGAGGAACAGGACGCGTGGAGAGGCAGGAGACGGGGCCTGGGGAAGAGGTGCACCCGCGGGGCCGCGAGTCGCCAGCTCCTCTGGCCGGGCCCCTTCCTGGTGACCCTCAGGCCTCCTTCAGCCACATCCCACCCCATCCCATTTTCCCACAGATCACACACATGGAACTGTGACTCACGCCCTGAACCCTCACCCCAAACCCAAGCAGTCCACGAAGATCCTGGGGGCGGTCCTCTCCACCTGCCCCTTGCGCCACCCACCCCCTCCAGTCTCCGCGTGAGAAACAGAGTGGGAAGTCTGGGGGACCCCCCCAGATGTCAAGCCATCCCCTCCCCACCCCCTTATCCTGTGCCCCTTCTTCCTCCTGCTGCTCCAGTGGGACATGTCATTACCTCCTCCAACGCCAGCACGCCCCTGAGCTTCCCCATGCTGGTCACGTAAGCAAGGTGGAGGCCGAGGAGCGAGAAGAGCGTGTGGGTCTGCAGGAAGAGAGCTGCAGGTCAGTGCGCGGCCGCCCCACACCTCCCCTGCCTGCAGCAGCCCTGAGCGGTGGTGGGCGAGGACTCGCCTTGTGCAGAGACGTCTGCTCCACCAGCTGGAAGGGAGACTGGTCAATGCAGCAGTAGTCAAAACACACCGGCTGGCTCAGCTGCTCCTTCTCCCAGGCCTCAATCTGTTGGGCAGAGTAGGGCCTTCGCTCAGTATCACGGGGCCCCCTTCAGCCTCAGATCTACAGCCGGGGCCCCAAACAGCCCTCCTAGCCAGCCCAGACCCTGAAATACGCAATGGAGTGTCACTGACCG